ATATATATATAGTATATATATATATATATATATATATATTATATATATATATATATATATATATATATATAATAATAATATATATATATATATATATATATATATATATATATATATATACATTTATATACATATATGTATATATGATTCAATCGACAGCAATTTCTGCGTCCCAAGAGATGTAATCACGTACACTTAATAACCCTGAAACTTTCAATATTTTTGTTCTGTACTGCAGCATGAGGCAGTATATGATTCACATTTATTGTAATATTTTAGTGTCTACAATAGTTGCTACGTCGCTCACAATAATTGATACGTATGAAGTGCCACTTTCGATGGCGAAACTCTGTTTCACCCAACCTAACACTTCTTATCGATATTCGTTTGCCAGATGGATGCAGCTACCGACTATGACACGCGCTCCACTTTCCGATCATACGTGCGAGCTCTTAAGAAATCGGGTGCTACCTCGATGAAGCTGGTGAGTACTGGTACCAGTAGCAAAATATGAATGTTTTTAGCAACTGCGTTTGTATGCGCAGTATTCTTCAAAAACAGCCTGTTATTTGTCTGATTCGGCATCCGTGATACACCTACTGTGTCTTGTATTGTATATTGCGACCGTGACTCAATCACCATTCCTGCTTTGCCTCTTTTTTCACCCCATTGCGTAGCCATCCGAGTGTGATGCCGTTATAAATATTGAGCAGGCTGTATCTGCGGAGGTACTTCAAGAGAAGTCCGAAGATAAAACGGTCATCTCGCAAACTGTGGAGGGTGTCATGTCCGCAGAAGATGGCAGTGTGGTGGATTCCGATCCTTCGGAAGTGGCGCAATGTGAACCCTCTAAAGTACAAGTCGATTCGACCCCTGCTGCTACAGACAGTGCTAGTGATTCCGAAAAGGAGGAGAAGGAGGAGAGTGAGGAGGAGGAGGAGGATATCATACGCACAGAAACAGAGCAGACAGCAGGAGTCACTGTCGACAATACTGCGGCAGCCGTCCGAAACGAGGATGTCACTACGGAGGTGGATGAGCCCTCTAGCGAAGCTGAACTCTGCACACCAACAGCTGCGGTAGGGGATGCTACATCGGTGAGTGCGGAGGGAGACTATGCTAAACCGGTATTTGAGGAGGCAACCAAACACGTACAGGAAGCAGCCGAAGAAGAAAGTACCTCGAGCCAGAGAGAGATTGCAGAAACGAAGGAGCCAGAACATATTGCGGACGCGAATGATGTGAGAGAAGTGGAGAGCAAGATTCATGAGGAAGAGGAGGAGGAGCAAGAGGTAGAGGAGGAAGATGCTTCGGTATATGATAAATCTTACACCCTAGCGGAGCTTGAAACCATGGTAAGTCGCCTACACTCTTTAGAATCAACTGCTTAGTGAATGTATTGCACTTACCTACGTCTAGGTCAAAACCAAATTTCGAGATAGTCGTTCATATAGATCAGGTCTTTTTATTCCAAAACTAAATACTGCGGTTGACTGCTACTTAACAAAAAAGCCGACCGAACGTTGATCACCACTTCATGCAGATGGACAAAGCAACCGAGTACAACGAGAGAGCAGCACTGCGAGCTCAGATCCGAACTATGAAAAAGTCAGGAGCTGCGACCTCTAACATGGTGAGTTATCTTGCATAATCATATGAATACCAGCGTTAGCGATTATCTAAAGATTTCCTTTGAGTAGACGAGATATCAAGCTAGCTAAATTTCAATACTGCGGATGTATATATATATATATATATATATATGTGTGTGTGTGTGTGTGTGTGTGTGTGTGTGTGTGTGTGTGT